ACTACCTACTACTACTACAGTGACGTGTGTACTACCTACTACTACTACAGTGACGTGTGTACTACCTACTACTACAGTGACGTGTGCACTACCTACTACTACAGTGACGTGTGTACTACCTACTACAGTGACGTGTGCACTACCTACTGCTACACTGACGTGTGTAGTACCTACTACTACAGTGACGTGTGCACTACCTACTACTACAGTGACGTGTGTACTACCTACTACTACAGTGACGTGTGTACTACCTACTACTACTACAGTGACGTGTGTACTACCTACTACTACTACAGTGACGTGTGTACTACCTACTACTACATTGACGTGTGTACTACCTACTACTACTACAGTGACGTGTCCACTACCTACTACTAGTGACGTGTGTACTACCTACTACTACAGTGACGTGTGTACTACCTACTACTACTACAGTGACGTGTGCACTACCTACTACTACTACAGTGACGTGTGCACTACCTACTACTACAGTGACGTGTGTACTACCTACTACTACAGTGACGTGTGTACTACCTACTACTACAGTGACGTGTGTACTACCTACTACTACTACAGTGACGTGTCCACTACCTACTACTACAGTGACGTGTGTACTACCTACTACTACAGTGACGTGTGTACTACCTACTACTACAGTGACGTGTGCACTACCTACTACTACTACAGTGACGTGTGCACTACCTACTACTAGAGTGACGTGTGTACTACCTACTACTACTACAGTGACGTGTGTACTACCTACTACTACTACAGTGACGTGTGTACTACTACTACTACTACAGTGACGTGTGTACTACCTACTACTACTACAGTGACGTGTGTACTACCTACTACTACAGTGACGTGTGCACTACCTACTACTACAGTGAAGTGTGCACTACCTACTACTACAGTGACGTGTGTACTACTACTACAGTGACGTGTGTACTACCGACTACTACTACAGTGACGTGTGTACTACCTACTACTACTACAGTGACGTGTGTACTACCTACTACTACTACAGTGACGTGTGTACTACTACTACAGTGACGTGTGTACTACCTACTACTACAGTGACGTGTGTACTACCTACTACTACTACAGTGACGTGTGTACTACCTACTACTACAGTGACGTGTGTACTACCTACTACTACTACAGTGACGTGTGTACTACCTACTACTACAGTGACGTGTGTACTACCTACTACTACAGTGACGTGTGTACTACCTACTACTACAGTGACGTGTGTACTACCTACTACTACAGTGACGTGTGTACTACCTACTACTACAGTGACGTGTGTACTACTACTACTACTACTACAGTGACGTGTGTACTACCTACTACTACAGTGACGTGTGCACTACCTACTACTACTACAGTGACGTGTGTACTACCTACTACTACTACAGTGACGTGTGTACTACCTACTACTACTACAGTGACGTGTGTACTACCTACTACTACAGTGACGTGTGTACTACCTACTACTACAGTGACGTGTGTACTACCTACTACTACTACAGTGACGTGTGTACTACCTACTACTACTACAGTGACGTGTGCACTACTACTACTACAGTGACGTGTGCACTACCTACTACTACAGTGACGTGTGTACTACCTACTACTACAGTGACGTGTGTACTACCTACTACTACAGTGACGTGTGTACTACCTACTACTACAGTGACGTGTGCACTACCTACTACTACAGTGACGTGTGTACTACCTACTACTACAGTGACGTGTGTACTACTACTACTACAGTGACGTGTGTACTACGTACTACTACAGTGACGTGTGTACTACCTACTACTACAGTGACGTGTGTACTACCTACTACTATTACAGTGACGTGTGTACTACCTACTACTACAGTGACGTGTGTACTACCTACTACTACAGTGACGTGTGTACTACCTACTACTACAGTGACGTGTGTACTACTACTACTACAGTGACGTGTGTACTACCTACTACTCTACAGTGACGTGTGTACTACCTACTACTACTACAGAGACGTGTGCACTACTACTACTACAGTGACGTGTGTGCTACTACTACTACTACAGTGACGTGTGTACTACCTACTACTACAGTGACGTGTGTACTACTACTACTACAGTGACGTGTGTACTACCTACTACTACAGTGACGTGTGTACTACCTACTACTACTACAGTGACGTGTGTACTACTACTACTACAGTGACGTGTGTACTACCTACTGCTACAGTGACGTGTGTACTACCTACTACTACAGTGACGTGTGTACTACTACCTACTACTACAGTGACGTGTGTACTACCTACTACTACTACAGTGACGTGTGTACTACCTACTACTACAGTGACGTGTGCACTACCTACTACTACTACTACAGTGACGTGTGCACTACCTACTGCTACACTGACGTGTGTACTACCTACTACTACAGTGACGTGTGTACTACCTACTACTACAGTGACGTGTGTACTACCTACTACTACAGTGACGTGTGTACTACCTACTACTACAGTGACGTGTGTACTACTACTACTACAGTGACGTGTGCACTACCTACTACTACTACAGTGACGTGTGTACTACGTACTACTACAGTGACGTGTGTACTACCTACTACTACAGTGACGTGTGTACTACCTACTACTATTACAGTGACGTGTGTACTACCTACTACTACAGTGACGTGTGTACTACCTACTACTACTACAGTGACGTGTGTACTACCTACTACTACAGTGACGTGTGTACTACCTACTACTATTACAGTGACGTGTGTACTACCTACTACTACAGTGACGTGTGTACTACCTACTACTACAGTGACGTGTGCACTACCTACTACTACAGTGACGTGTGCACTACCTACTACTATTACAGTGACGTGTGTACTACCTACTACTACAGTGACGTGTGCACTACCTACTACTACTACTACAGTGAGGTGTGTACTACCTACTACTACTACAGTGACGTGTGTACTACCTACTACTACTACAGTGACGTGTGAACTGCCTACTACTACAGTGACGTGTGTACTACTACTACTACAGTGACGTGTGTACTACCTACTATTACAGTGACGTGTGTACTACCTACTACTACAGTGACGTGTGTACTACCTACTACTACTACAGTGACGTGTGTACTACCTACTACTACAGTGACGTGTGTACTACCTACTACTACAGTGACGTGTGTACTACTACTACTAATACAGTGACGTGTGTACTACCTACTACTACAGTGACGTGTGTACTACTAATACTACAGTGACGTGTGTACTACTACTACAGTGACGTGTGTACTACTACTACTACAGTGACGTGTGTACTACTACTACTACAGTGACGTGTGTACTACCTACTACTACAGTGACGTGTGTACTACCTACTACTACAGTGACGTGTGCACTACCTACTACTACTACAGTGACGTGTGCACTACCTACTACTACAGTGACGTGTGCACTACCTACTACTACAGTGACGTGTGCACTACCTACTACTACAGTGACGTGTGTACTACCTACTACTACAGTGACGTGTGTATTACCTACTACTACAGTGACGTGTGTACTACCTACTACTACAGTGAAGTGTTTACTAACTACTACTACAGTGACGTGTGCACTACCTACTACTACTACTACAGTGACGTGTGTACTACTACTACTACTACAGTGACGTGTGTACTACCTACTACTACTACAGTGACGTGTGCACTACCTACTACTACAGTGACGTGTGCACTACCTACTACTACAGTGACGTGTGTACTACCTACTACTACAGTGACGTGTGCACTACCTACTAATACAGTGACGTGTGCACTACCTACTAATACAGTGACGTGTGCACTACCTACTACTACAGTGACGTGTGTACTACTACTACAGTGACGTGTGTACTACCTACTACTACTACAGTGACGTGTGCACTACCTACTACTACTACAGTGACGTGTGTACTACTACTACAGTGACGTGTGTACTACTACTACTACTACAGTGACGTGTGTACTACCTACTACTACTACAGTGACGTGTGCACTACCTACTACTACTACAGTGACGTGTGTACTACTACTACAGTGACGTGTGTACTACTACTACAGTGACGTGTGTACTACTACTACTACTACAGTGACGTGTGTACTACCTACTACTACAGTGAAATGTGTACTACCTACTACTATAGTGACGTGTGTACTACTACTACAGTGACGTGTGTACTACCTACTACTACAGTGACGTGTGCACTACCTACTACTACAGTGAAATGTGTACTACCTACTACTAATACAGTGACGTGTGTACTACCTACTACTACTACAGTGACGTGTGCACTACCTACTACTACAGTGACGTGTGCACTACCTACTAATACAGTGACGTGTGCACTACCTACTATTACAGTGACGTGTGTACTACTACTACAGTGACGTGTGTACTACCTACTACTACTACAGTGACGTGTGTACTACCTACTACTACTACAGTGACGTGTGCACTACCTACTACTACTACAGTGACGTGTGCACTACCTACTACTAATACAGTGACGTGTGCACTACCTACGACACTTTATATTAATATTTATGCGATCTAACCAACATAAAAACTATATTATGGATATTGTTCGCGAAAGCCTACGTGTTAAACGTGCGTTGCGTTGAACTTCTTTCGCACCGTACGTAGCCAACCGTGCTACGTAGCCATTGCATTTGAATAGAATGTAAAAAAAAAAATCATCATGATTCAATAAGAAAATAAAAAAACACTTATTCTGGGTACCCTTTCCTGAGCATAAATATTCGGCGGGATCTCATCATCACCATTATTACTGTCATTAATTATTGTATTACTAATATAATAAACCAATAATGTATGTGTCCCGCGCGTGACGTCACTCCCCATGCCGCACCCAACGTTAATAATCATGAGCGGGTGACGTCACTCCACATGGGGCAACCCCCCCTCATTAATAATCATGAGCGGATGATGTCACTAGACAAGGGGCACCCCCCCTTATTCATAATCATGAGCGGATGACGTCACTGCACATGGAGCTCCCTCCCTCATTAATAATCATGAGCTAATGACGTCACTCATGTGGACCCCGCCCCCACCCCCTCAATAATAATCATGAGCAGGCCATTATTTCCGATTGAATATTTCAGATAAACTGCAAAAAAAACACCCGTCCTTGGATCGGCTATAGGCTAGTCATTATTATTAGCATCATGAATAAATTGTTGTCGAAGTAACATTGTTACAAATGTACCTGCACTGCTATACCCAGGTCACCCTTGATAAAGACACTATTAGCACAACTGCCAGACCCAGGTCACCCTTGATAAAGTGACTATTAGCACAACTGCTACACCCAGGTCTCCCTTGATAAAGTGACTATTAGCACAACTGCTCAGGTTCCCGAGTTTGTTGCAGGACAGCACCCCCCCCGCCACGCCCGATATATATTAGCGGGTTGCACCGCGCGTTGTTCAACGCGACTGACGTCCGATGTGCAGCGAAACGTCGGACATCGCGTCGGACAACCACGCGGTAACAAACCGAAAGACAAGGATAAGATAAATATCCCCCGTATAGCCTCAACAGGCCTTTGGTGCAAGTGCTGTTAGCGTGCAGCACCTATGAAGATGTTTACACACCGCAACCAGGTACTTATTTGAGGCTGAGTCGACCTAGGGGAGGCCCAGGGCCGGTTCAGATGATCGTCACTCGAACCCGCGTGGCCAGGTTCGCTAACCGCCACGCCACAGCTCCCCACACCCACACCGGGTAGAGAGCTGGAACTTTAACACCGACGAGTTCTCGATTTCAAATTTCGTTTCCCCGTTACCTCCATCGATTGCATCCCCACTCAGCCCCCCCCACCCCACCCCTGCCCCCCTCCCCCACCGTGCCCTTACCTGCACTCGCGCTTCCGTGAGGTCTGTGCGCAGTGCGAGCTGCTCTCGAGCGTACACGTCCGGGTAGTGGGTCTTCTGGAAGACCTTCTCCAGCTCCTCGAGCTGGTAGCTCGTGAAGGTCGTCCGATTGCGCCTCTTCTTGGCCGCCTTGACGCCAGGCGTGCCTCCTCCGTCTCGCTCGGACACCGATTCGCCGCTCGACTTGTCCGGGGAATCCTTTAGCGACGACTGCTTGAGAGCCAGGTACGAGGAGGCGTCCATCGTGGGCGACTGGTTCATGGCCGAGAGATCTGGTGGTGGTGGTGGTGGCGAGGAGGAGGAGGAGGCGACACGAGAGGTAGGGGAAGTAGGGTGGGGGGGAGACGAGGAAGGAGGTGGAGGAGGAGGAAGAGGAGACGTTGCGAGCTGGATATTTACTTACGTTTGAGTGGCAACGATTGCTTTATATAATTCACGGGCAACGGCAGTAAACAAGGCAGACTTGTTCACCGGTGGCCAGTTCTTGGCGCTCATCAGCAAGCCATTAATTAGTTGGTTACGCAAATTGCCAGCGAGTGGACCTACGGGCGCTATGAATTCGACCGCGGCATTGCAAACAACAGAACGCATGAATACATAGATAGGAACAAGCCGTGCAAATATACACAACAACCATCTCCTACCAGATTGGCCGTTTCCTCTTGTCCGTACTGTGTTCAACTAACTCATTTATGATTGCAGGATGCAAGCCACATTTGTCTTCCTCCTTATTTCTTGGTATTGCCCTGTCCTGGAACTACCGCCCATCTCGTCTCTGGTCTAAGTCACCCACGACTTTGCCGAATTCAAAACACGTTCGACATCGCCGTTTCGTTTCACTCAAATCTGCGTGACAATCGTTCGTTGCTTCTCGGTGGCCGCTCTGAGTTACGGGCCGCTGATCTTCTAACTCGGTGAGCGTGGCGGGAATATCGATGTAAACTTTGGCAACAATCACTCAATCAAGCCTTTATTTCTAACGCACTATTTCGTGCAAAGGATGCCATTGAAAGTGTTGTACAGATATAATAGCAAAAAACATTATTAAAAGACTAAATCACCAGTACAATAAAAGCAATTTCCATACAAAACTAAATTTCATTGTAATAAATTGCTGTCGAAGGCGTTTAAAAAAAAGGAACACTATCAACTAATCTTAAGTAAAAGCAAGTTTAAAAAAAACGTGAGGCTTTTAGATGGAATTTAAAATCGCTTTATGATTGCGAAGCCATCAGATCCCCTGGCAGGATGTTCCACAGGCGATGACCATGCACACTCAAAGACGCTTCTGCGTGCAGGCGGACGACTGGCGGCTGCTGCTACGTGCAACTGCTTGGGTTTGTCGCGGTGGTTGCTGAAAAGGCTCTTCGGGTGGTGTTTTCGTGGTTGTGCCCTGTCGTGTTCGACGTGATGCCCGTCGTTTCGCGACACACGTGCTGGTCGAAGCTCGCACGCAACACGTGGAAACGAATACCGTGCGAAGCCGTGTCGAACATCGCGCGGTGCGACGCGGAAACACGTGGCGCACTGTCGGTGTCAATGCTGCGATTGACAAGCACCCAGGGCGAGAGATGCACATTTCATAGTCACGAGTCTCATCGTCGCCACTTGATCATCATCATCAGCAGCAGCAGTAGTTGCTGACCCCGCTTGTGACAGTGAACTTTGGAGAATGCTCGACATGAGAAGACGCGTGGACGGGAACACGAGGCCCTGCTGCTGCTGCTGCTATAATAATAAGTGGCGCTAACGTGACAAGACAGCGGCTGGCTCTGACAGTCGAGACGTGAGAAGAGTGTCTCAGCCAAGGGGTTAACAAATGTTGCCTTCGCTCGCGTGGCGAGACGGGTGGCGGGGGAGTGGGTAAAACGCGCAGATCTCTCTCCCTCTTTCTCTCGCCACCTCGTTAAGCAGCGCAAGCACAGGATGCGTGTTTTCTTTTTGGAGGCGTTCGTTTAAGCGGAGGGAAAATAAAAAAACACGTTAATGTTGCAACAAGTTTGGCGGAATTTTGAAATTAAATGCCGTCCGTGTACTGTAAGTAAACATCAAGTTGCTCGCTCTTAATGAACGAACGAACGCACGCACACACACACGCCCATCGAGTTCAACATTTGTTAGACGGTAATGATCATTGTTGCAATTATTGTGGATTATTTTACACGGGGAATCCTCAATGAGTGTCAATACTCGGTGAGCAAGAGGGTTCTTCCGCATTGCGTTGTTGATTAATTCATCGGCGTGCGGCACTCTTTAACACAGATTCGACATTAAAGCGATGTTAGTCTCCCCCCCCCCCCCCCCCCCGTTTGACCATTGCAGTGTTCCCAATCACGACTGATACCGCATTAACCTCTCAGAAAGAAAAACAACAACGGTGGGCGTTTGTTGTCCTCGATTGAAAATGTTCAATTCGAACAACGCTCGCAGGTGGTCGGAGTAGCTGACTGTAAAGGTTTGAACGTGATCACGCTCCCCCCCCCCCCGTGTCCCGAGAAGAAATCGTATTCTTCAGAGGCGCGTCGATGTTACGTTGGGAATATTGCACCCTCGTTTTTTTTTTAAACGCGAATCTACGGCAACAGCACGAACAACAACAAAAAAACCTAACGTCCCGAGTGATTCGGGACAGATTTACAACGCAGCCGTTTATGCGTCTCAGTGCTCAACGGTACAGAAAAAGGCCACCCAAGTTTCATAAATAACCTTCGCCCGTTGACTGCCTAATGCGTCAAAATCACGTTACAGCGAGGTCCTGTATGGCGTATAATTCGCATATTACATATACACCCGTAGTTTTATATTTGTATTGTCTGAGCGCGGAACGCAAATACGAAGTTACTCCCCCCCTCCCCAGTATTGCCTGTAAGGTCGTGTGAGGCCAAGTACGCATATGAAGTCCGGCACGGCACACGAGAGGGTGGGTGGGCAGCACTATTCCCGACCGCCTTTGTCTCCCCAGTGGCGATGTTTACACACCGCACCAGGTACTCATTCGAGGCTGAGTCGCTGAACGCACACAAGCTTAATCGTATGAACGTGTGTATATGTATATACGTATAACCTAATACGTGACACGCACCTTTGCGAGATTCCAGTTGTGTCATCAATTCTATGGCGTTACAATATCAGTCGGTCGGCCGAGCTGGTGATGGCATCGGTGCCCGCTCAAAAGGAGACTCACGCTTACGCCAAAACGCTGGAAATGAATTCTGTAATGAACGCAAGAGCCGCTCGTGATTTTTTTTTATGTTTTACACTCTTGAAATACGTCGAGCCATTCATTGGTCGCAAGAAAAAAACTCAAACCATGCCACCGCCGGTTCTATCCACCCGTGCATCTTAGACTGAAGATCACACGCCAAGTTAGAGCGGGCCTGTGTAAGAAGCAGTGATTCATACAGAATGCACGGGCGTGTGACTGCTGTGTGTGTGCTACGTGTGAGTGGTGTGTGTGTGCTACGTGTGACTGCTGTGTGTGTGTGCTACGTGTGAGTGGTGTGTGTGTGCTACGTGTGAGTGGTGTGTGTGCTACATGTGAGCGCGGTGTGTGTGCTACGTGCGAGTGGTGTGTGTGTGTGCTACGTGCGAGTGGTGAGTGGTGTGTGTGCTACGTGTGAGTGGTGTGTGTGTGCTACGTGTGAATGGTGTGTGTCTTACGTGCGAGTGGTGTGTGTGTGCTACGTGTGAATGGTGTGTGTGCTACGTGTGAGTGGTGTGTGTGCTACGTGCGAGTGGTGTGTGTGCTACGTGTGAGTGGTGTGTGTGTGTGTGCTACGTGCGAGTGGTCTGTGTGTGCTACGTGTGAGTGGTGTGTGTGCTACGTGCGAGTGGTGTGTGTGCTACGTGTGAGTGGTGTGTGTGTGTGCTACGTGTGAGTGGTGTGTGTGTGTGCTACGTGTCAGTGGTGTGTGTGTGCTACGTGTGAGTGGTGTGTGTGTGTGCTACGTGTGAGTGGTGTGTGTGTGCTACGTGTGAGTGGTGTGTGTGTGTGTGTGTGCTACGTGTGACTGGTGTGTGTGCTACGTGTGAGTGGTGTGTGTGTGCTACGTGTAAGTGGTGTGTGTGCTACGTGTGAGTGGTGTGTGTGTGTGTGCTAGGTGCGAGTGGTGTGTGTGAGTGCTACGTGTGAGTGGTGTGTGCTACGTGCGAGTGGTCTGTGTGTGCTACGTGTGAGTGGTGTGTGTGCTACGTGCGAGTGGTGTGTGTGCTACGTGTGAGTGGTGTGTGTGTGTGCTACGTGTGAGTGGTGTGTGTGTGTGCTACGTGTGAGTGGTGTGTGTGTGCTACGTGTGAGTGGTGTGTGTGTGTGCTACGTGTGAGTGGTGTGTGTGTGCTACGTGTAAGTGGTGTGTGTGCTACGTGTGAGTGGTGTGTGTGTGTGTGCTAGGTGCGAGTGGTGTGTGTGAGTGCTACGTGTGAGTGGTGTGTGCTACGTGTGAGTGGTTTGTGTGTGCTACGTGTGAGTGGTGTGTGAGTGCTACGTGTGAGTGGTGTGTGTGTGTGTGCTACGTGTGAGTGGTGTGTGTGCTACGTGTGAGTGGTGTGTGTGTGCTACGTGTGAGTGGTGTGTGTGTGCTACGTGTGAGTGGTGTGTGTGTGCTACGTGTGAGTGGTGTGTGTGCTACGTGTGAGTGGTGTGTGTGAGTGCTACGTGTGAGTGGTGTGTGTGTGCTACGTGTGAGTGGTGTGTGTGTGCTACGTGTGAGTGGTGTGTGTGCTACGTGTGAGTGGTGTGTGTGTGTGCTACGTGTGAGTGGTGTGTGTGTGTGCTACGTGTGAGTGGTGTGTGTGCTACGTGTGAGTGGTGTGTGCTACGTGTGAGTGGTGTGTGTGTGCTACGTGTGAGTGGTGTGTATGTGCTACGTGTGAGTGGTGTGTGTGTGCTACGTGTGAATGGTGTGTGTGTGTGCTACGTGTGAGTGGTGTGTGAGTGCTACGTGTGAGTGGTGTGTGTGTGTGCTACGTGTGAGTGGTGTGTGTGTGCTACGTGTGAGTGGTGTGTGTGTGTGCTACGTATGAGTGGTGTTTGTGTGTGCTACGTGTAAGTGGTGTGTGTGTGCTACGTGTGAGTGGTGTGTGTGTGTGTGCTACGTGTGAGTGGTGTGTGCTACGTGTGAGTGGTGTGTGTGTGTGCTACGTGTGAGTGGTGTGTATGTGCTACGTGTGAGTGGTGTGTGTGTGCTACGTGTGAGTGGTGTGTGTGTGTGCTACGTGTGAGTGGTGTGTGTGTGCTACGTGTGAGTGGTGTGTGAGTGCTACGTGTGAGTGGTGTGTGTGTGCTACGTGTGAGTGGTGTGTGTGTGCTACGTGTGAGTGGTGTGTGTGTGTGCTACGTGTGAGTGGTGTGTGTGTGTGTGCTACGTGTGAGTGGTGTGTGTGTGCTACGTGTGAGTGGTGTGTGTGTGCTACGTGTGAGTGGTGTGTGTGTGCTACGTGTGAGTGGTGTGTGAGTGCTACGTGTGAGTGGTGTGTGTGTGCTACGTGTGAGTGGTGTGTGTGTGTGTGCTACGTGTGAGTGGTGTGTGTGTGCTACGTGTGAGTGGTGTGTGAGTGCTACGTGTGAGTGGTGTGTGTGTGCTACGTGTGAGTGGTGTGTGTGTGCTACGTGTGAGTGGTGTGTGTGTGCTACGTATGAGTGGTGTTTGTGTGTGCTACGTGTGAGTGGTGTGTGTGTGCTACGTGTGAGTGGTGTGTGTGTGTGTGCTACGTGTGAGTGGTGTGTGTGTGTGCTACGTGTGAGTGGTGTGTGTGTGCTACGTGTGAGTGGTGTGTGTGTGTGTGTGCTACGTGTGAGTGGTGTGTGTGTGCTACGTGTGAGTGGTGTGTGTGTGTGTGCTACGTGTGAGTGGTGTGTGTGTGCTACGTGTGAGTGGTGTGTGTGTGTGCTACGTGTGAGTGGTGTGTGTGTGTGCTACGTGTGAGTGGTGTGTGCGCTACGTGTGAGTGGTGTGTGTGTGTGCTACGTGTGAGTGGTGTGTGTGTGTGTTACGTGTGAGTGGTGTGTGTGTGTGTGCTACGTGTGAGTGGTGTGTGTGCTACGTGTGAGTGGTGTGTGTGTGTGCTACGTGTGAGTGGTGTGTGTGTGCTACGTGTGAGTGGTGTGTGTGTGTGTGCTACGTGTGAGTGGTGTGTGTGTGTGCTACGTGTGAGTGGTGTGTGTGTGCTACGTGTGAGTGGTGTGTGTGTGCTACGTGTGAGTGGTGTGTGTGTGTGCTACGTGTGAGTGGTGTGTGTGTGCTACGTGTGAGTGGTGTGTGTGTGTGTGCTACGTGTGAGTGGTGTGTGTGTGCTACGTGTGAGTGGTGTGTATCACAACAGCCAGCCTCGTCGTTCACGGGCGCGATGTTGCTCTCTTGTTGCGTAACGCACGGACCGTTACCGGTCCAGTCACACGGCTCCGTCGCCTACTTTGTGCATTAAGTTTTGTGCCACCACTCTAACGTGTGCGCCACGGACTCTCGCTGCAGCTATAAGTCGCCTTCAAAGTAATAACATAACGCGCAGAGAACAACATGTGGTAAGCGTTACGGCCGTGGAGGAAAAAAAAAGAGGTTCTTCAAACGCACACACACACACACGCGCGCACACACACACACGCACACACTCACACACACACACACGCACACACTCACGCACACACACACACACGCACACACTCACGCGCACACACGCACACACACACACGCACACACTCACGCACACACGCACGCACACACGCACGCGCACACACGCACACACACACGCACACACTCACGCACACACGCACGCACACACACACACCCACACACAGGCACACACACCCACACACAGGCACACACACACACGCACACATGCACACACACGCACACACTCACGCACACACACACACGCACCCACACACAGGCACACACACGCACACTTACTTGCAGTGGCGCACGAGTCGGGTAACGGTCGAGAGGAGGACGATGTCAGTTGCACGGAGTTCAAAACGCACAGATCTTCTCGACACTGCATTTAAAAGCCGACGGCGGGCACCAGCGGCCACGAGCTCAAACTTTTCCCTGAACGTCTGTCTCTGCAACGAGCAATAACTCCCCCCCCCACACACACACAACCCTTCCCCACTTCGTATTGTACGGAGCGCTATAGAACGATCTGCGCTGACTTCACTTCCCTCGAGTCGATTCGCGGCGAGCGTTTGAGCCGTACTTCTGAAGTCGTGAAAACGCTGTCTCTGTCTCTATTCCTCCTCCTCGTCGTCTGTCTGTCCCTTTCTCTCTACGTGCGTGGCTATGCGAGGCAAGACTCGGCTGTTGTCGAAAAAAAAGTCTGCGTTGCAGCGGGCCGTACCGAACAGGGACCGGGCGGGTGGGTGGCTGTCTTCGTATTAATAACGCACGCGTACGCACGCCGCCGAATCGCTGCGACTGAGGCAATGCAGTCGCGGTGCTGCTGAGCTATTGAAAGGGGGCGACCTCCGGCCAGCCTATCTGATGCGAGGGATCGGAGATGTCATCTCCTGCTCCGCGTCAGCCACGAATCGCTGCCGGCCCTTCTACGCACCGCCGCATATATCCGAGCAGGCGCGGCCCCGAGAGAAATCAGCCCTCCTCAATTAAATTTCACCCAGAGTTTGCACAAAAAAAAAGCTTTGGCGCATTTTTTTTGTTTCCCCCTCCTCCTACTCTTCCTCCTCCTACTTACTCCTCCTCCTCGTCTTATTTTCGGACCCCCCACCTCCCTTGCCCTCCCTCGTCCTCCCCTCCCTTCGTCCCTCCTTTCTCCACCTCCCTCCCTCCCTCCACCACCACCTCCTCCCACTCTCTCTAGCACCATCCTCCTCCGCCCTCTCTCTCTCATTCTCTCGCTCTCAGTTCCTTTACTTTGTGTTGTTGGTGTTGCTCTCTCTCTCTCTCTGTGTGTGTGCGCGCGTCTAAAGAAAGTCGCGGAGCCTCCGTTTCTTGGGACAAGCAGGGGGAGGGAGGCACAGCAGCGGCAATCGCAGTAGCTGACCGCGCCCCGCAGAAACGCAGAAGCGTCGGCCACGAGGGGCTGCCAAGGCGCCGCCAAGCGGGCAAGAGCTGGGGGGGGGCTTTCTCGCTGTGACGGCAGCGTTCCACGCGCCGCATCAAACATGCGTTATCCAATTAAACGGTTCTCCCCGTGATTCCTTAAGCCCGCCTCTCAGAGCACTGCGTCCGCGCACGGCGCTCAGAGCGCCTCTGCTATGGCTGACTGCGGGTCGGCTACGGTATGGCTGGATTTTGTGATGTGTAAATAGTTCCGCTGGCGCTTTAGACGCACACGGGCACACGGGCACACGCGCGCGCGCACACTTGCTCGAGTCACGATGGATAAGAAGGGGCCATTCAAGGCGGCGCTCTTGCACATCTACACGATGCACCGCTTGTGTGCGGTGCGTGTGCGGTCTGGGTGTGGTGCGTGTGTGTGCGATCTGTGTGTGTGGTGCGTGCGTGTTGCGGTCTGTGTGTGGTGCGTGTGTGTGCGATCTGTGTGTGTGGTGCGTGCGTGTTGCGGTGCGTGCGTTATGACGCTGCGCATGGCAGCGATCGGGGCTGCCATGCGTCTCTCTCTGCGACCCTATTCCTCGCAAGCGGGGTATTTATAACGACGACGCTCATATTGCATACGTAATTAATAAAAGTCAATTGCATTACAACGCGCAGCCTCACTTTAATTGGTTATGCGATGCCCGGCGATTTAGTTTAATGCGTGTAAAAAAAAAAAGTGACGAATGGATTTTGGCGACTATCGGTGTCAATATTCCGAGGGGGGCGGAGGGCACGCTGCTAACTCGCTGTTGCTGATGGTGCTGGCCGATGTCAATCGCAGCAACTTGCAAAATAAAAAAAAATAAAATCTCGCTCAAGCGGAAGCCACAGCGTGGAATCGCGAGTGCACATTTTTCGCCTGCGCGCGCGACTCGGGCTTTTGATGTCCTTCTTGCCGTAGAACCGGAGTGGACTTTCTCGTACTCAGCCGCGGCGGTGGCTCCGATTTTGCTGTTTTGGCACCGGAGCGCTGTTTGACCGAACGGGACCATTGCAACCACGCGAAACAGGCGAGCACAAGCGAAAGGCCATGCATTCGATTTACGGGAGTACGGGAGCGTGTGTATTTTTGTTGTTGTTGTTATTATGTCAACCCTGGTTCTTAAGAGGCTACGAATCCTATGCAGATGCCGCAATGGAAGTGTGACGCTAATGCGGTTTGTACATTCGCAACCGTCCACACGTACGTGTGTACATACACACGCATGCATGTCTGGGATGTAATATTGAAGACATTCATTCACAATTATTTCAACGTCGCTTTGGGGTTATCCGATTCTAAAGCCTAAAGAGCATCATTGTTGCAATGGCTGGCAGGGTTAGTTTATTTGTGAGCTCCCCGTGTACTTATTCTGTCTCGAACTTAGTCGTGCGCTCGCTTGCAAAGGTTACACAAATACAGAAGTGGTACACAAGGCAACGTTTTAGATACGTCTTCAAATTAAGGTGTGCGTTCATACGCGATATAATGCCGCGCAAGGCGTTGCATTGTAAAGGTGATGTCGCCGATGAACGATTGTGTCAAAGGCGAGTTGTGTGCAATGCGTGACAGTTGCACAAAGAGGCCACTACAAGACGCTTGTGAACACATTCAGGACTCTAATAGCAACAACAATTAGCGCTTCAGACGACAGCGTAAAAGATGTTCACACTCTTGTGGAAGCGTTGTGATTTATTACTCGAAGTTGACAATCAAATATCACCTGCGACGTTTGGAAGCTTTTCCCGATTTGTGTTCGTTCAGAAATGGCATTTGTATTACGATATTGTACAACATGTTAACAGCAATCCACATAAACACAAATATACGTTGAAATGTCGTGTTGGCGTTAAATGTATATTCTTGCAAAAATGTTACGTCGCATTTCAAGAAGCATAACTAAAAGTAAATTAAATTAAAGCGTGTAGCTAGTTTGCACATGCATGCACTATGCCGACCTGTACTCAATCACAGCAATGGCAGTAACATCACTCCCTTGTCAGTAAATGCATGTTTGCGAATTAGTAGGCATTTGTGTGTATATGTATATGAATGACCAATATTATTCAATTTTCAACCCATAGGCTGCCTCGTCTAACCTACATATGTGCTCTGAATAAGGGCCATTGCCCGAAACGTCACCGATTATGTATACATTTTTTGCTTTTTAAGGCAGTGCTGTTGGCGAGTGTGTTGGATTTTTATTTTTACACAGCAATCAATTGCTGCTTAAATGTAATATGCAAATGCATTCACAAATCAATACATGACGTTGTCATTCATAGATGTTAGCCGAATAGCTGAATCAACAATTTACCGTAAATAAAAAAAGAACATGCAGCAAGAGTAAAAAAAAATCTTACAACAACAAAAACAAAAATCGCATTTTACGAATATACAAAGATTGAATGTAATTAACGTTTTAGACAAAAAAAACTCCCCCGTATAGTCTGTAACAGGCTGTTGGGGCAAGTGCTGTTAGCGAGCACCTATGAAGGTCGGAACGGCACACGAGGAGGTGGGTGGCCAGCACCACGCCCGACCGCCTTTGTCTCCCCAGTGGCGATGTTGTCACACCGCACCTGCAGGTACTCATTAAAGGCTCAGTCGACATAGGGAAGGGCCAGGACCGGTATATTTTGTCGTGAGTAGGAATGGAACTCGGGTCGCAGGCTTTGTAACGAAGTGCTATAACCACGTTTTACACGTACAAAGACAAAGATCCTCCGTATAGCATGCGCTGCTAACCCGGCCACTCGAGTTCGATTCCCGAACACCAGTCACGATCCTTAGGTCGGCTCAGCCTTCAATGAGTATCTGGTGCGGTGTGACAACATCATCACTGGGGAGACGAATGCGCATATAACATCGTAAGGATATACTGTAGCAATCACGAAACACGTGTATTTCCAATGTAAGTGTTCCTTTTTGTACATATGGCCCTACATACGCGTGTATAAGCCTGGTATCTTCGGCAGTTTCCACACCACGATGCGTTTTCTGATTGTTACCGCGTCCGGTGGCGTTCGGCACAATGTCCGACGTTTCGATCCACGTGCCGCCGGGGGAGCTTCTTGTGGGAATACAAATTAAGATAACATCGAAAGGACGCGGGAGTAAGTGCGCATGTGCATCGAACGTCTTTCGCACCGTACGTAGCCAACCGCGCTAGTCGGAGGTGCGGGGCACGGACAACATAAACTTAACACAAACTAAACACAAACTAAACACAACAACCAGCGAGCGAGCAGCGCATCAGTCGCCTTAACCCCCCCCCTCCCCCCCCCCCCCCCCCCCATGATGAATAATTTGTTGTTATTCGTGCCAGCACCGCGTGTCGTTATTGTCCATAGTTTATACTCAGAGTTGTTATAATAATAATGATGGTTTCCGCTCCAACGTGAACCGCGTAACAACAACAATACATCGCTGAGGTATGTTAATTAGTAATCACAAAAATAGATGGGGGGGGGGGGGAGTGATGAAACATACACAGGGTCTGTGTGCACTCATCATCATCACTCGTTGTGTATCCACTGCTGGATGAATGCTTGCCCGCGATGCCACATTAGACATCGCTCACTGCCGCGCCTCCGCTTAGTTCAAGCCTCCATCTCGGCAGCAGTCGTCCTCTCGGGCTGTCATTCCGTCAATCGCAACTCAATCCGTGCGAGTCTTTGAGTCTCTACGCGAGTCTATGAGTCTCTACGCGAGTCTCTGAGTCTCTACGCGAGTCTATGGGTCTCTATTTGAGTCTATGGGTCTCTATTTGAGTCGATGGGTCTATGTAAGTCGTTATTGACTGTGCTGAGACAATCAACTCACTCAACTTGAGAACCCTGTTTCATCACCACTCAGTCTATATGAGTCTAGGAGCCTCTAAGTGAGTCTATGGGTCTCTGTTTGAGCCTACGGGTCTATGTAAGTCGTTATTGACTGTGCTGAGACTATCAACTCACCCAACTTGAGAACCCTGTTTCATCACCACTCAGTCTATCTGAGTCTAGGAGCCTCTAAGTGAGTCTATGGGTCTCTGTTTGAGTCTATGGGTCTCTATTTGAGTCTACGGGTCTATGTAAGTCGTTATTGACTGTGCTGAGACTATCAACTCACTCAATTTGAGAACCCTGTTTCATCGCCACTCAGTCTATATGAGTCTAGGAGCCTCTAAGTGAGTCTATGGGTCTCTATTTGCGTCGATGGTTCTCTATGTGAGTCCATGGGTCTCTTTGTGAGTCTGTGGGTCCCTATGTAAGTCGATGGGGTTTTTTTTTTTCTATCACAACTCAGTACATGTAAGTCTATGGGTGTCTTTGTGAGTCTATGGATCTCTGCTCATCCGATTAGCGCGGTTGGCTACGTACGGTGTGAAATAAGTTCAACATACACACAAGCCTCGTCCATTGGCCTTACTTGTGTCTAGCCAACAATATATCCTTCCCAAGCCCACATTACTTTCCTTAACAATCTGTACGATGTCCCTGGTTTGCTATTGTTCTCTGATCAAAGCGCTCTTCTCTCTGTCAGTGTAATTCCAAGCACGTGCCTCCTCTCCGTGCTCGTTTGCATGAAACAAATAAAG